GAAGAGACAAAATGTGGTAAGGGAAGAAGTCGCAGACACTGGACAGGTAAGGGGAGGGACCACAGGAAAGCGGCAATGCCACAGGAAGGAAGAAGAGGCCACAGAAGCAGGGTGTGTGTGTGTGAGGAGGGGACAATCACTAAACAAAACACAGTCTCAGTCAAGTCAGACGGGACCGGGGGAGCCCCTGGGCCATGGGCACACAAACAGAATCAGGGAGAACACTCTCCTCCAGCAGGAAGGAGAAAGCGAGTGAAACTGGACACCAGGTTAGGGGAAGGGAAAAAGACAAAAACAGGAAAGAAGTCACAGCAGGCCCAAGGGACACCTCTGCCTGTCTTCAGAGGCTTCTCTGTGGGCTAGAATATCCCATGCATAGCCAGCAAGTCAAAGGGAGGGTGTCACTTACAAGATGGTGCACATTTTGCCCGATGGAGCCGCCTTTCCCAGGAAGACATGACCACAGAGTCCAGGCCTTCAGTCTCCTTTTAGAGACAGGAGTGGGGAGGAAAGCAATTAGGGCTGGCCTTAGGCTGGGCCCCTGTTTGGCCTTCTTAGAGGTCACAGCAGAGGGCAGGTTCCCAGCCCCACAGTGTAACTCCTGAATCCTTGCCCCCTTTCCTGGCCACCAGGATTTTCAGACCTGTCCTAGGCCCAGGGAAGCCCAGGATCTAGCGGGAAAACTCCAAAGTGGCATCTACAACTTGAACACATTCCCCACCAAGTCAGGACTCTCCCTGAGACCATGCATCTGAGGAGGAGAAAAGCAAGGTGGAGCTAAGAAATCTTTGTTCCAGACAGAACTCACGGCCCTCTGTCTCACCAGACAGATACCTTTTAAAAGGACCATGCTGACCATCAGGGGTATTCAGTCACCACATTCTAGAAGACTTGGACACCTGTATTCTTAGGACTCCAGCCTGAGCAATTTAATGTCACCTAGAACTGGGACTCTGGCACAATAGGCTTCTCCGCTCAGAGCCTCAGCCTCCTCATCAGCACTACACGTAAGGTACCATGCTACATGTGGTAAGAAGAGTCTCTGCCCTCCATGAAGAGTATGTTCTTGTTCACATGGCCAATAAGCTACAAGTGGCGACACTGTGATGTTTGTCTCCATGCCTGTCTCCCTCAGGGGCATCCCTATGAGCACAGGCTGAACCCCCGGCCTCCAACAAAGGATTCGAAACATTGGAAGCATTCAGAAACATTGGTCCCTGCAGCCCAGCCCCAACTTTGCCCTGGTGAGCAGAAGTTTCTTTACCTCACCTTCAGCATAACCCCCATCCCGATCCTTCTGACCTCCTGGGTGAATCACTATGCTTTGCCAGTTTTCCCTGTTCTTAACCTACCTTGGGCCTTGATTCCTAGGTTCCCCCAGACAATTTTTATATAGTCTTGTGTGTCCACCCACCTCACCCCTAACGAAGTCACCTTCCTCTGACCTCTCTTACCTGGCTTCTCATCACTGTTGTGGCATCCTCTAGGGCCAGGGTTGCCTCCTGGTAGCTGTGACTAGACGAGAAACAAGCCTGGTAAGGGGTGGTGGGGGCTGGGAATTGCCAAGCCTCCCTTCATCCCCAGGCCCCGTCCCCCACCCTCCCTACAAGCTAAGTCTCTGGGGTGACTTGTGCCTGGAATCAAGATGGTGGGGGTTGCCAGTATATACTTACTCACCTGGTTTCTGGTGCTGGCTGGGGCTCCAGCTCTGCACTGGCCCACAGTGTGGGTGCTGCAGCTAGATGGGGGCGGGTTGGGGGGAAGGAGATTAGTCTCCACCCTCTATGAGTTCCCCCGACCACCCTCACCTGCCAGGAAGCCTCTCCCACATCATGCCACCATCTCCCATTTCCTCTCCCCTCAGTCTTCTCATGCTCTTGTTCCAGCTCCCCCGAGGCCCTTCTGGAACAAGGGTCTCCCTCTCCAGGCCACCCTCCACTTTTCGGGGGAGGGTGGTCCCAGGTCTCTCTGTTTCTCTATCTTGGGTTTTCCCACCCACCTAGCTTTAGGACCCATTCCCCTCCTGGTGCCAGGCTTGATCTTGCCTTTGGTCTCTCCTCTACTGAAGAAGCTCTGTCCTTCCTCAGAGCATCTCTCTTTTCTGCCTCTCTGCAACCTGTTCCCCCATGCAAACTTCCAGCCTCCCCAGTCCACACCCCTCTCACCCTGACGCTGGACCCGCCAGGACTTCACAGCCTGCTCCTCTTGGGGCAGCCAGATGCAAATGAGTACCACGTAGAGCACAGACGACAGGGGTCCCATAGGGGCGTGTAGAGACCCGGGAGCCTGAGCGCAGAGACTGGCCCCGAAGTGTCTCTCTCTGCCAAGGCTGGGTCACATCTCCACTTTGCAGACAGAAGTAGCTGCAGCTCCCCAGGGCCCTCCTCCAAGGCACTTGGCTCCTCCCCAGGCTAGAGTAACAGGACTGCCCATCTCATTAGCATAAATTAGGTTCCTGGTAAAGGCCCAGCCTCTGCTGTACTACACCTGGGCTTTCCCAGGGAAGCCTAGTTCAGTTCATTCAGCTTAAGTTCTCTAGGAATACCATCCAAACCCTGACCTGCAAGCCCCTTCCACCAGAGACCAAGTGGCTGGTCCTACCAGGGCTGGTAGAAGACTTTTACAGAGAGCCACACTGAAGCCTAGAACAGTCTCAGGCCTGCAGAATCCTAGTCTGTGCATCCACTTGGGCTCCCCAATCCCCATTCTGTCTCCTAGCTTTGAGCACTTCTGGGAATACTGGTTCCTTAACCTTCTGAGTGCTGGTCTTGGCTCAACAAGTGTTGACACACATTCATTGTCCCCACCAAGGCCAGATTTGGACAAAACTAACTTGATGTTTTCAAGTTATTGTCCATATATATATATATATATATATATATATATATACATATATATATATATATATATATACAGTGAAATGTTGGACCTGGGAGTAACATTTGAGGAATATAAACTAACTGGATGCCAGGCATTGAAGTTACTTATAATGCAGGAAAAAGAGGGAAAGGAGAAGAAGTTTGATCCAGTAATCTCCTGGGCATTCATTTATTTTATCTATTAGCAAATTTGTTGAGTATGTGTCTTGTGCCCTGTACTGTTATAAACATACAAAGGAAAAATTGTCCTCATATGGGATATCTATATCCACAGGCACAGAAGGTAAAGTGAAAAGGAGAGAGCGAAGGATGTGGTTTACAGAACACTGGTTCAGAAATGGACTAAGGAAATGTGAGGTGAGAACCAGGACTCAGTACTGTCCTCAAAGCCAAGTGGAGACACAGTGAAATCAAAAGAGGATATTCTTAGGAGAGGATGACAAAGGCTCAATAGCTATGTGCATATCAAAATATAAAATGATGTTAATCAAAATGAACCCCAAGAAATGGAAACAAGGGTTTTTTTGTTATTTTGCTTTTTTGTTTGTTTTCTCTTTGCCACTGTTTTTTTTTTTTTCTATACCTTTTGTCTTGTAAGTTTATCTGTTTGGGGGAGAATAAGGGGAAGCACAGAAATTGTGGGACAAAGGATGAACAAATGCAGCAGTGAGATTCGCTAGACACTGTGTTGAAAATGAACTGTACATGGGTGAGGGGGTTCAGAAGGAAAAAAAAAACTGAGAAAAAATTAGGGAAGAGGCAACACTGTTCAAAAAGAAATGTACTCATTACCTGACTTGCATAACTATAACCCCTTTTTACATCACCTTTATAATAAAAAAAAATGGAGAACATTTTAAGAAGGAGGAAGTCAGTGGGGCTGTTGTCATGGTGAAGAGGGCCATGGACTGCATTCTTCTGGGTAAGGACATTCCCACTCTGCCTGGATTCTATCAAATATATGAAATAGCCACATGACACACTTAAGTAATGTAGAGAATCAGGGGGCTTAAATGGGAAGAGAAATATGCCCTTTGTGGTTATTTCTCACATCGTTCTCTTTAAGTCTTTATCCATGCCCTCACTTGTGAATTAACTAGTTAGTTGACATGGATAATCTTTTAAGGCTCTTCTTCTTGAGGGACTTAAAACTTAAATGAGGTGATAATTTAGCTGCAGGAAAATAGCCTGCTTGCAAAACTTCAGCTACTGAGAGAGGGAGCCAGAGAGGGGGACCTTGACCAATCTCTGAAGGTGTAACTGTAAGTGGCTACCTGATTTAAGCCACTTCTATCTCCTTGCTCTTGCTCCTAATAGGGTAGGTGCAAACAGGTCTAGAGGCTTACCCTGGTTAAATTCAAGCCCAAATTAAACTCTTCCTCCCACCCCCTTCTCACATGTTTATCAGCCCTCCCATGGCCTCCTCTTACCTTCAGTGTGATCCAGGCTTGGTTCATGGTCATGCGAATTCATCACAGGATGGATGAAGTAAACACACGCTGGCTGAATTGAATCAAATGAACCAGAGGGTCTGGGTAAAGGTCACTTTAAATCAGGATGTCACTTGCCATCACTTCTACGCCTCAGTGAATTGAGCTTTGTTTTGCTTTGCTTTGCTTGTTTGTTTTGCTGGGCCCTGTCAGGAAAAGAAGGTGAGGGTAGGGAGTCAGTGGAGAGAGCACTCTATGGCTCTACCCCCTGGCCACAATAAGCCCAGCCCCCCCCCCTTCCCCAGGAGTTCACAGATCAAGGAATAGTACCTTCCTAATAGGGAAAGTGCTTGAAAAAAGCCACTGTGAAAGGTCCCCTAAACGTGACAAGGAGTACAGTCTCAGGAAGGCAGCTGGACCTCTTCTTGTATGTCAGAGAAAATGGACTAGATTACTCCACCCCTTACCCACCTAAATGAAGAGATGGGAGTTTACTCTGGGCTCCACAAAGTACCAAAACATCTTGATTCTTCTTCCTCAGTCGCCTAACCACCGACCGCCCCAGGGGCGCTTTCTTCCATGCCTGGGGACAGGTGTCTTCCAGCCACTCAGCCCAGCCTCCTCCCGCCCCAGCCGCGCCCCTGCAGCTACCAGGCCCCGCCCCTAGTCCCGGAAGGAGGCCGGGCCAGGGTCACGGTCACGGCTGGCGCCTGCTCTGCAGCAGCCCGGGCACCCTAAGAAGAAACAGGACGAAACAGGCCTCGACACTGCTTCATCAGCCTCGGCCATGGACCGCAAAGTGGCCCGAGAGTTCCGGCACAAGGTCAGAAGCGCGAGGGAGGGGTGTCCCAAGCTCTGAGGGACTCTGGAGTCAAAGGCAGGGCAGGGCCGGAGGTGGGGCTGGACATCCTCTGCGCTGTCCTACCTTTTCCAGGCTGGGATCAGGGCTGAAGGCGAGCCAAGCCCCAGGAGGAGGGTCCAGGGTTGCTTGGTTGCCAGGGGAGATCTCTAGCAAAATGAAGGTGAGGGCATTGGAAGTCCAGGTGTAAGGGCTGCCAAACTGACCCCTCTCCAAAATATATCTTTCCTCTCTCACCAGGGGTGATAACTTCCAGCTTTGGTCAGAGACTAGTACTTCCTAGAGGTGCCCAAAAATGGACAAATCCACTCCCCCTTAAGACCCCAGCCCAGAACTGTGGGAGCCAGTGGAGAGCCTGGGCCCTGAGTGGCAAGAGTTGAAGAAGAGAAACTGAGCGGCTCTCTGCCCTGTGATGTGGAAAGATGATAGGATAGGAGCATCTGAAGAGCCCCCTAAATGCCGAGGGGCATGCCTAGGGTCTGTATTGCGGCAAAGCTGATGGCAGCCAAGCTGAGGGTCTGAAGCAGGGCTCCTGCCCATCCTTCAGCTAGAGCCTCATCAGTTCCTGCGTGTCTATGGCCCTCCAAGTTCTTCACTGGCTTTTATTCAGACATTTCCGGAGCTTTTATTCATGGCATTTCCTGCACAGGATCTGAGCACCCCTGAGGCCAAAGAAAGCCACTAAATGGTCCCCTCAGAATAAACTGCCCTCAGGCCCTGCCCAAAGGATGGACAGTGTGTGCCTTGAAGCCACCCCAGAGCCTTCTAGGGACCTCATCTTTAGGCAGAGGGACTTCTCAGTCTGAGGGGTCAGAGTTCAATAAGGGAAGATCAAGATGCTTCTCCCTTCCCCTCCCCACTCCCCATTTTCCTTCCCCTTTTCTACTGGGCCCAAAGGAACCCAGCAGCCCTTTGGGGCACAAGCTGATGACTTGGGCCTGTAGTTTGGGTCAACTATTCAGATAGTACATATTTTGAGCATCCACTCTGTGTCAGATCCAGTGTGTCCCCTCAAATCTCTTGGTAGGCAGATCCTATACTAGTACTTACCCATAACTGGGCATATGATATTGGGACCAAAGCTTGGTGTGGGTACCAAGGATCAGTTCATAGTGATAGGAATAAGAGCTCATACTTCCAGGAATAAGAGACAGCTAGCTGTCATCAGCTACATGTTCATCAGGAATTGGGGGGGCTGCTTGGACTGAATTCATCAGTACATCCTGTTACGGAGGGATGATTGGGAAGAAATTTAAGCCCCTGAGGTCATTCTCTGTGCGTGTAGATTTCAGGCACCCCACTTTGAAGGAACTCAACCTCCTGTCTCCCACTCTGAGCTTAAATTTCACTTTCTTGCCTTTGGGCTAAAAATATCGAGTTTTCTTTTGCCTTTATCCTGTTGGGGTACCTACTCTTTGCCTCTTTTGAGAGCCATCTCCAGGGTCCCCAGTATCTGAATGAACTCCAGGTTCACCATTATACATCCTCCCCAGGTAGAGGAAAGGTTCCATAGAGCCTCAGGCCTTTGTGTTCCAGCACCCTGCTCTTCCTCATCACAGGACATTATCTATTAATGCCCCAGTGTGTGCCTGCTGAGCAGGCGCCATGCTGGCCAAGGCCCTGGCTGGACTTTGTGCCCTGCTGCCTGGGAAATAGCAGCAGAAGTTTCTCTCTCAGGCTGGGGACCTGGGAGGAAGGAAGCCACACAGGACAGAGATTAAAACTTCATAGAGGCTTGCTGGGAGAATTTACAGCTTGCTTTCTAATTGTTCCTGTTCTGAGGTTTTAGAGAAAATTTACCCTGGAGCGATCATTTGTAATCTAAGTCTTTACTTGCTGGAAGTAGTAGTTAAGATACTCTGTTATAAGAGATAATGCTGGGTAGCCCTGGGCAATTTACCTCCCTCCTCCCTACTCCGTAATCAGGTTTCTAGTTTGTGAAACAAAGTTATCCTGAATGCTGAAGGTATGTCTGTGTAGTGGGCCAAGTTAGATCCTGTGCTCTGTGGTTTATTATCTGGAATTAGGCAGAACTGGAGTCAAATCTCAACCCTGTTACCCACTTGTCAGTTGAGACTTGTAGCTAGTTACTTAATCTCTCTAAGCATAAGTTTCTCCAGCCTTGAGAAAGAGTCTGTAGTGCATACACATGAGACAGTAAAGATGAAATAAGAATTCAAACACTGAATGTGGGCTTTGGGCCTACCATGTCTCCAAATATTGAACAAACCCAAAGAATCCAAGTGTTGCTTCTATGGGCTAGTGCGTTTTCCTGGGGCCACTAGCCCTTGCTAGTGGAACAACGTTCTGCCAGATAGGCTGTGAACATATGATCAGAGGCTGAGGTATCTCGCCTGAAAACCAGCTTTTCAAAGCAGCCTCTCTGCTCACAGCACAACAGGTTGTGGACTTGGTTACTCATTTGCCCAGAAAGTATTTATTGCCTCTTCGGTAATCATACATTTATGACTGGCCTGGTGTACCCTGCCCAAGGTGAAGGAAATGAGCGGGGGTGGGGGGGGTGGGGGGGGGGTGGATGAATCAAATCAGAAAGAGCCTGCTAGGGATTTGTTAGTCACTCATTCACTCAATCATATATGTACTAAATTGACTGAGCTCCTAACCTATGCCAGTACTCTAAGCACTGAAGAACAAAACAAAGCCCTCTCTCTTAGAGAACATATCCTAATGAGGAAGACAGTTAACAAAGAAACCAATAAATTATTACACAATACCAAATATGATAAATGCTTTAAGAAAAATAAACTTGAATGAGGTATAAAGATTAACAGGTGGTCCTTTTATAGAAGGTCATCAGGAAGCCTTCTCTGAAGAGATATTGTTTGAATACAGGCCTGGAAGAGGAAAGGAGGAGTCATGGAATATACATGAAAGAGCCTTCTAGGAAGAGGACACAAGTGCAAAGGCCCTGACGCATGCATGCACCTGTTATGTTCAGGAATAGTGAGTGTGACAATGTGTCTGAAAATGGTAAAGTGAAGAGTAGTAGTGAATTGTGGGTTACAGGGGCCTGTTGAATGTCAGGATTTTGAGTTTTGTTCAACACTGATAAGTGGGATGACTGGCTTACACTTTAAAGGGATGCTTTCCTGGCTGCTCTATAGAGAAGGAAAGAGTGGGGCCCTAGGGGATAGAGGACTCCAGCCAGACTAAGAGGAGCATGGGTCAGACTCAGGAATGTGTTAAAGGTGGCCCTGATGGGCTTGTCAGTGATGTGATGGCTGTGGATGTGGAGAAAGCAGCAGGTACATCCATGTGTCAAGAGAAGGAGTGGGGACAGAACAGGAAGTGATAAAAAATCAGAGTCCATCACAGGGTTTGACATTTGAGGTGCCCTGGGAGACCTTTAGGTGGAGAAGTGACTAAGAGGGTGTGTAGGAGCCTGGAGATGAACAATGAGAAATCCGTGGTGTAGGAAGTATACTTAAAACCTGGAGACTGCTTAGGTTACTTATAAAGAGAGAGTGCAAATAGAGAGAAGACCCAGGACCAAGCTGAACCCCCCAGTCTTGGAGGAGGGAAGAAGGAGAGGGCAAAGCAACAGCAAAAAAGATAGGAGATCCAGGAGAAGGAAGGTAGGAATGCTGGGCCAAGCCTGGATCAAGTGCTACAAACCAGCTGGCAAACCAGACTTGATAAAAAAAAAAAAAGTGGGGGGGGGGGCTATGTCCATGGCTTGATGGTGGTGATAGTTCCACAGGCGTGTGTTTATGACCAGACGCCTTAGGTTCATATACATTGAGTGTGTACAGCTTTTTACATGCAATTCTGCTACAATGGAGTGGCTTTGGGGGGGGAGGGGCGGCCATGGAGCTTGAACTCAGGATCTAGGCACTGATCCTGAGCTTTTCTGCTTAAGGCTAGCACTCTACCACTTTGAACCACAGCTCTACTTCTGGTTTTCTGGTGGTTAATAGTTAATTGGAGATAAGAGTGTCATGGACTTTCCTGCCTAGGCTGGCTTTGGACCATTATTCTCAAATCTCAGCCTCCTGAGTAGCTAGAATTACAGATGTGAGTGCAATAACATCAGTATTTACTGCAATACTCACTGTGAAGTTCCATGGCTGGATCTTTTCATCCCATCCACGGGAACAAATGGCACTATCAGCTTCTATAGATGTTGAATTTGTATTCATTTATTTTTATATAGTATGATATAAAAATATGCAGAGCTTATTGCTTTCTAAACTATTCTTATTAACTCATTGAATTAGCAATGAAGACAATGATTAGTCTCAAATGAAAGCATCATATCCTATTTTCTAGGAAGGAGGATTTTAAAAAAGGAGTGCAGTGGCTCATGTTTGTAATTCCAGTTACTCAGAGGTTGAGGTAAGAAGATCTGAGTCCCAGGCTTCCCTGGGCAAAAAACACCAGACCTTATCTGAAAAGTAAAGCAAAAAGAGCAAAAAAAAAAAGGCAAAAAAAAAATGTATGATTATTTTACAGATGAGGAAACTGAGGCAGAGGGAGGTACAGAGCCAATTTAGGAAGGCTTTGTTGATCTCACCCTCAATACTCACTCCCAGGCCTATGTCAGACTACGAAGAAGAGAAAGTCCTACACAACTATGGAGGAGATGAGGGAAGAGTGCTGTGTGTTCACAAGGAGTGATAGGACAGGAACCTCAGGAACAGGGGAATCAGAGAGATGGAAGAGCGCAGAGAAGAAATGGTACAGGGACCACCCTTGCTAGTGGCTGATACTTCCCACCAGCCAGGGCCACAGCACAAAGCAGGTGCCACATCCTAAAGGGAAACCAAAGGGGCTCTCATGAATGGATGGTGGGAACAAGCAGGAAGCACTGCACCCTAGGGCACCCTTGTAGGAAGCGCCTACAAGCCCAGAGGAGGGAGGGTCACCAGCTTGGGGAGATCCAGAGTTGCAGAGAGACCCAGAGGGAGGAACCTGATCAGGGTAGCTCCATGGGGACTAGGCGC